ACACGATCGGCTTGTGCCACGATAGCCGCTTTGCACCCTCAATCTGGCTAGCAAACCGACCCAACCCGATCTGATTGTGCCAATGGGCAAAGTGTTTTAGACTCCGCCATACGCCATTGTGACAAGTGACAAAAGTGACAAGTGACAAAAGTGACAAAAGTGACAAAAGTGACAAAAGTGACAAAAGTGACAAAGTGACGCAGTGTTACACCAAGCAGTGGACATAAGTGTCAGAGACACGTGGCAGGCGACGGCTCACTTTTCCTTGGCTACCACAATGCCCAACAGCTGGTCCTCTAGGCCCTCGGGCGTGATCATGAAGTTCACCAGCAGGACCTGAGGACAAACACTGGACACTACAACCTACTCTCACAACTGACCTGTACAAGACAATCATCTTACTGGACAAACAACAACCTTTATTCGTTTTTAGTAAGAGTTTTACGGCACTTGCAAAACAATAAGGTCATATAAGTGCCGAGGATTAGAGGTGTTACAAGAGAGTAACAAACAACCATCGGTCCAAGACAATCACCTCACCTGTACAAATGACCATTCCCCACTTCCACCTTGCATTTTTTAAAAACATTTAAATGTCAGTGCGTAAGACGTCCACCTGTTTAAGTCGACCACGTTTCTCCTTGACAACGGGTGGCCGTCTAGAACAACTTGGACTGTAATTGTAATTGTAGATGGGGCGTTCTTAGCTCAGCTGGTATCATGTTGGACTAATGAGTGGATGGCCTTGGTTCGAATCTAGTGCAAACTACCAATTTGATTTATTTGATTCAGCCCAGGCCAGCCAGATTTTTTCCTTAATGGAGCAGAAGCAAAACCTACCATTTTGGCACAATACAACAGAATTCAACTTAATTTAACTGTGATTCAAAATCAAACATGTCTGTTTTTCAAGATTGTGTCGAATTGGCCTTATTGTGCCCCTTCTGTCACTGCTGCATTCTTCATGAAGGAAAATGTGGCAGGCCTCAACTGAATCAAATAAATCAAACTGGCTGCATTAACTGGGTATAAATTCCGAAATTTAAATCACATGCTCTAAATTGTATTGATAGTAACATAAAACCATTATAATAAATTAATTCAGCAGCGACTGAAAAGCTTTTTACGGTTAACTCACCCAGTCCTAACACCGATAATATCGGTAGGCGCGCGCAACCCCACCAACCATGACGCCGACAGTATTGGTATGGAAAATGTTGCTCTCCTGACCAAAAACACTAACTTTTGTGTGAAGCAGACTATAGCCTAATTAGAAGAGTAGATCTAACCATTTTTCGTTTGAAACAGACTGTGACCAGAATTATATGCCCAAATTGAGAACAAAGAAAGCTATATCAGTGTACCGTGTGAGGAGGTGTGAACTTTGAGCGCACTTCCTTTCTTCGCTTTTTGTTTACTTTGTGGCTCTGTATACAAAACTTTTTCCTCGAAGTATTGCATAAAAACTACATGTATCAAAATATGTTGCCTTCAAATTTTAAAAACACACAAATAAAAGTTTGAATCAAATCGATACCAAATTTGGGTAGGCTATGTTAAAATTTAGTATTTTTTCCATTTTTCAATTGAGTTAGTTCAGAACTCACCTTGGTGGATGTCTCAGGCAGGTAGTGGGGGTTGCGTAGTTTGGTGGTGATGTAGAAGCGGAAGTCGCTGCTGTACTCCAGGGGGTTCTCTCCCATCATGATCATGTCCACGCCACCTGTCGCAGCACACACGAGAATGGAAAGAAAAAGCATCATCATAATCATCTTCATCATTGTTGTCATCATCATTAGGAAGTGCTAAATCTGAAACAGACACAGATGATTGTGGTTCACTATTCATTTCTTTGCTCGGATGTTGTCAAAAACCCATATCATCTTTTTGCATCACCCATTTATTCAGGTTCTCTAAACAATTTGTTCTCGACCTATCTCAATATAAAAAAATGCAGTTGTAGATCTTTTACACATCCACATCCAAACTTTTTTACCCCTATCCGTACGTCGTGTTTTACTACCCTATCCATACGACGTGAGGAACTCTGTGCCACCACTTTCCAAAGAGGAAATTTATTTGTTAATCCCCCCCCCCCCCCCATACGTTTTGCACAGCAGTCTGTCAAAATGATTTTGTGACAAATACTGAAAGTTACAAAGAAATCGTCGTACTAGAAGTATTCTACAAAGTGAAGAATACAAACCACGGGGGTACAAAATGACCCCAGGGTGTAGGAATAGGGTTTATCATATACGGGACAAGCTGCTTTGATCCTGCTTGTCAGAGCCAACCCGGGGTGAGAGGATACAAAGTCCCAGCAAAAAGACGGAGCAATTTGTTAAAAATTACTCTATAAAAATCGTCCCCACACACATATCGAATTCATGTCACCTGCGTACGACAACACGACACCTAACCACTACCGAAGATGTCATTGACTTTCTACTTTTGTAAAGTCCTAGTGGAAATGCGCCGGGGGCTCTCGTGGCCTAGAGGTTAAGGTGTTCGCCTCTCATTTAAAGGTCCTGGGTTCAAATCCGGCTAGCGACGGAAAAATTTTCTTCCGTAAAACGCTTATTTAAAAAAAAAAAAGAAAGAAATGCGTCGTATAAATGTACTTTATTTTTGCAGTCAAACATGCTCTAATAATGGTCACCTGTATTAGACAATCACCAGGACACACAGCTGTATCTCATATCCTCTCTTTAGTTTTGGGCTTTTTTTCATTATAATGACACTTTATAAGGCATCAATTTTTCTTCTCAACAACGGTTGGCCATCTTAAACAATATCAACGGTAATTTTATTAATATTATCGTTATTATTATTATAATATTTTTAAAATTATTTTTTAAAATTTATTTATTTTTTAAAAAGTATTATAAATGCGAGGCGTACTGACAAAATGAGTTACTTCTTGCAATCCACAAATGGAGATATTGGCCAAAATTCGACGCTAGAGTCAAATTTGTAGATTTTCTATTGATACAATATTCTTTATGTATAACATGCCTTTTATCTATACATATTATATTGTGAAAGTTCGTCACTTTTGCAGCCTAAAACTTCTGAAACACTTAACTTTCGAATTTGACAAAATTAATGCCGGTTCAGAATCATTTAAAGGGTGCACAGTTTTACTGAGGAGCCTGAAGTCACTGTAGTTTAATTTTCAGTTTTTCATTAGTTTCGTTCAGATCTAATCTTGGGAAAGTCCGTCTTATAAGACGCCATTGTAAACAAGTGAGGTTTCCGTTCGCTAACCGTGCGCACTGTTTTGAGAGTAGAGATCTATAAACCTTTTAATTTTTTGCATCTCTCAAGATTTATTGCTCCATTCCAGTAGAGTGAAAATATCATAGGCCAATGACTTTCGGCTGATGTTAATGCACCAATAATTCCTTTCATAGAAAGGGGGCCCTGCTAGTTATTTCATACTTATAAACTATAAAAACTTCTCCTATAAGCGTGATGTATCTATTTTCATAAGGCTTGAATCTGAGAAGTAACTCATTTTGTCAGCACGCTTCACAAATGTTATAAGTATTATTATCATTATCATCATCATTAGTATTATTATCATTATCATCATCATTATCATTACAATTATTATTATCATCATCATCATGACTGTACCTTGTTTGAAGGTCTGCTTTAGAAGGGTTGTTATTTTTACATGTATTATTATTATTATTATTATTATTATCATCATCATCATTATTTTAATTATTATCATTATCATCATGACTGTACCTTGTTTGAAGGTCTGCTTGGGAACGGTTGTTATTTTTCCACGCATTATTATTATTATTATCATATTATCATGATCATGATCATGATCATTATTATTATCATTATTATTATCATTATCATCATCATCATCATGACTGTACCTTGTTTAAACGTCTGCTTAAGCAGCAGCGGGGCGAGAGAAGGGTCCAGCTCCTCCCCCACGTTCTCCAGCAGCAGGGGGTTCCCAAAGGTCACGCAGTTCTCCAGGATGCGCATGTAGTCCGAGTCGGAGAGTTTGATGACGGACAGCGTGTTGTCCCGCTCCATGTTCTTGACCCAGCGATTGGCCTGACCGTCAGGGTCGATCATCAGTGGCCTGAGAAAAT